ATAGCCCCAATGCGTATCGTGAGCTCAATGTAGAATATAAGAAGTATAACTGTAGCTCTGATGCTTGTCCTTATCTTGAAAATTGTAGATATTTTTTAGCTTTCTGCAAGGAAATAGAAAATAATTCTGCCTACTATGTGACTAATTTTCCATGCTTTTTAGTTGTAATATCTGGTATAGTAGCAAATTTAATTTGATATATTTTTTTCTGAATTTGTAACTAACATTGATTTATTTTAGGGCCTTACTTTTCTGTTTCTGATGCTGTGTTTGCAAATGTTGCTATAGTTGACCCACTTACTGTAGTCTTTCTCCTTATTTGGCAAAAATATGATGAAACAATGATGATATCAATTGCCAAAACATTTCATGCTTTAAAAATCTCTCTCAAACTTCTTAATCAATATTATGCTAATGTTGATGAATTAATTCAAGATGTACCTCAAACTGCCTATTCTGTGCATCCTTCATTTCCAGAAGTAATTATAGATGATAAATCTTACATGGTTCAAATTAATTCCCAAATCAGCACATATCTTCTTTGGGAAGTTACACTTTTAAATAAACAAAAACCTCATCTTATAATCTACATGAAAGCTGTTTAAAAATATCAATATTCACTTGATACACATCAGCTCTTAGCTGAAGTTGGATATGCCCCAAAGGTCATTGCTACTTTAGTTATTCCTGGAAATTGGCTTTTGATTTATATAGAATGTCTTAACAATCACTCAATATTACATAATATCTCTAACCTTAAAGATTCAGAACAAAATTCTCTAAAAAAGAAAATAAAAGAAGTTATCGAATATTTGTATAATTTAGAACACATCCATGGAGACTTGTGTGAAGGAAATATACTAGTTAGGCAACTTGAAGATAATGAATTTGATGTGAAGTTAATCGATTTTGAATGGTCAGGGAAGGTTGGTTCTGCGCATTATTCTCCTTTAATGAATCGTGAAGATATTTAATAGCCAGATAGAGCACAAGATTGTAAATTAGTTACAAAAAACCATGACCTTTTTATGTTAGAGCAGACTCTTCAGAAAAAAAATTTGGTATAAAATGAGACGGATATCGGAAGTATATATTTTGGTTTAGTAAAAGGAGTGGATCAAATAGGTTTAGTGTAGAAAAATATTACTTGTTATTCTTAGCATGTAATATTAAAATTTTTGTACCATAGACTTGGCATTTGATTTCTTAATTAATAAAGTCCTGGTGGCTCGATTTTGCATATTTAATTGCGTTTACTTTTGCGTGTGTATTACTTATTTATTGTCCGGAGTGAAGTGTAGGACTCACATTCTCATGTTACTAGCCAAAATTTGTCTGTTTGTCCACCCACGTGTCCAATAGTATACCAATATTAGATGATATATGTGATATACGTAATTGTCCAGAGCAAAGCAGAGGACTCTTTATTTCCATACAGGATGATACAAAAGTTACTTTTTTGATGCATCAATATATGATATATCAAACAAGTAATTCCGTATTTCTGTCTGTTCATTCACGTGATCTATAGTATTTATCTATTTGTGTAACTGATCGTATATAGCATGATTAAAAATCCATCTGACCAGTTGCTCTGGACTTATAAACAGGAGGGACCATCCCAAATAAGGAAATGATGATTCCGATCATGCATATTGGTTTAGCCAATCAAAATTGTAAATCTTTATCATGCGAAAAGTATCACGTGCTAATTAGCCA